AAAAGAAAGGTGAGCTTTTACAGGATTGAATTTCCCTTCTGGGATGAATAAAGTATTTTTCATTTCATTTTCATTTCATGAAAGACAACAACATCTTGCTTTGTCCTGGTCACTTGGTAGGCTGGAAATGTTCCTGTACACAAAGGCAAAGTGAGCAGCAAGAGTTTCTGGTGTGTTATCAGTATGGACTCAATTTGGTAAAACAGATGCATTTCAGACTCTACTTTGCCACAAATAACCAAGTGTGAGCGGTAAGCCAGCCCATTGTGTTTAGCCCAGTTCACTTTCATAACTTGAACACTACTGGGCACTTGAATTGCCGTGGCAATTCCAGAACCTCCTTTTACCATCTCTGAAGACACCATTTTTCCTGGACCAATTTGTAAGCGACTGAAGGCTGCAGAAGATTGCCAAACATATGCCATATACTTCTGGTGCTTTTTTTGCCAGCGTGTCAGTGATATTTTTCAATGACTTGAGCTGTTTCTTGAAAAAAATTGTGCTTACCTTCGTAGCGCATGCACCAGCTATGAAGTACAGATCCAATTTTCTGAATGCAGCGAGGATAATGGACAATGTCTTGAACAGTTTGTGGTGCTCCACAATCAAATGTTCTAAATATACACACAGACCTTGAGATAACATGGGAGAAAATACAATGTTTACTATCTGTAGTAAAAGAAGTAAGGTCCAATGTTTGTCAGCAGAGGTTACCAAATCTCCAAACATGAGGGGAACATTCCTCAATAAGCACCATGACTGAGCTGCATTTAGTCCCAGATCATTCTCTCCACCTAAATTCACCACCGCTGGTCTGTTGTTTCTCTCCAGGAATCCACAATCAGAACTTTACATTCTCAAATTCAGCTCCCCCAATGTAATATGTTGTTCTTTAAAACACGCGAACTGTTGGGAAGTGCTCCTAATGTGTAGGAAGTGGAGCCAGAATGCGACGAGGGAGAAAGGTAATGATAATAATAAAAAGGTTTTTATTGCGGGACGGGATTGAGGACACCAAGGAAGCAGGAGGGAGGAGTGCCGGTGAACGCTGGTCTTTGTGGAGGAGGTGAGAGGGTATCCAGGAACTCCCGAGGTGTGCTCCAGTGTGGGGGGGATCCGTGCTCCAGGGGGAAAGGTGCTCAAGGCGTGACAAACCAGTGAGGGGAGAACCAGAGAGCTGCTGCTGCTGCTGCTGGTGGCTGACTTGTCATCACAGCAAAAACACACACAGGAAATAATCTTGCCAAAAGCCACGGTTCAAGACTAAAACCCCAACACAAACAATAACTTCAATTGGTTCTGAGCCACCCCCTTCCAAAATGTCATGGCATCACATCAACTGAAAAGTTCTCAGTTATGTGAGAATATGCCAGTGAATTCAATCACGCTCCATGAACGCTTCACACCAAAAATGTTTTTTGGTGGAGAAAGCAACAGGTCACGTGACCACAGGTGAGTTCAAGGTCACCTGTGGGCTCCTGCCCCTTGGCCTCAACCACAGCAGTGCTCCATCAGCACATCGTTGTGAGATTCCTTGTAAGGTGAACACACGCGCGGTGTCAGAAAAGTAACAGGACTGGGTCACAAAAAATCTACAAATGTTAAACATTGTTGTTACAAATCCAAATCCAATTTGTGCTCTTCAAAATACTCCCTGTGAGTATGTGCATTTATATATTTTATATTTATAAATATTGTATGCAAAATGATTTCTTCAGACAGCTCAAATGGTGAAGATTGGTGGAGCCAGCATTTGGGAGAATGTGAGCAACGTCATGAAAAGGTTAGTCTCTTCTAAGTCGTGTTCTTTATCAGTTTTTGACACTCCCCTCACAGCAACAGAAACCTAAATTGCATATTAATTTTCTAACAACTGTGTATCTGCTGTGTGTTTCTTTTTAAGAACTTATTTGTCTGATTAACTACATTTTTAAACTTTATTGTAACACAAAACAATAGTGGGAGGCGGATTCAAATGCCACCTGTACAGGCCTTGCATCTACTCAGTCATTAGAATGAACAGTACAAGTAGTCAATGGTCAAAGTATCCTTGGGAGATAACTAGACTCTTATGCTCCTTGGATTATTTGTGTTGACAATGACAAGAGGTCTGGTGTGAGAATTTTAACGACTAGAGTAAATGGAGAAATCCTTGATTTGAGTATTTGCCTCTGAATATCTTCAAACACTAGAATGGTTTCAGGTGCCTTGGCTTTTCGTAGTTGCTCCAAAATATGATCAAAGTAGAAGTTAAACCTGTGAGCATGTGTTGATGGCCGTCCTGGATAATAATTAGGGGCATATGTATTAACATAAAATGTCCAGTGTTCTTAGAAAAACTGGCAATTATTAACATGAAACAGCACCGGGGATCAGTGAGTGNTGGTGGAGCCAGCATTTGGGAGAATGTGAGCAACGTCATGAAAAGGTTAGTCTCTTCTAAGTCGTGTTCTTTATCAGTTTTTGACACTCCCCTCACAGCAACAGAAACCTAAATTGCATATTAATTTTCTAACAACTGTGTATCTGCTGTGTGTTTCTTTTTAAGAACTTATTTGTCTGATTAACTACATTTTTAAACTTTATTGTAACACAAAACAATAGTGGGAGGCGGATTCAAATGCCACCTGTACAGGCCTTGCATCTACTCAGTCATTAGAATGAACAGTACAAGTAGTCAATGGTCAAAGTATCCTTGGGAGATAACTAGACTCTTATGCTCCTTGGATTATTTGTGTTGACAATGACAAGAGGTCTGGTGTGAGAATTTTAACGACTAGAGTAAATGGAGAAATCCTTGATTTGAGTATTTGCCTCTGAATATCTTCAAACACTAGAATGGTTTCAGGTGCCTTGGCTTTTCGTAGTTGCTCCAAAATATGATCAAAGTAGAAGTTAAACCTGTGAGCATGTGTTGATGGCCGTCCTGGATAATAATTAGGGGCATATGGATTAACATAAAATGTCCAGTGTTCTTAGAAAAACTGGCAATTATTAACATGAAACAGCACCGGGGATCAGTGAGTGTTTCCTGACTGTCCATCCATCCATTATCTATACACCGCTTAATCCTCATTAGGGTCGTGGGGGGCTGGAGTCTATCCCAGCTGACTTAAGGCGAAGGCAGGGGACACCCTGGACAGGTCGCCAGTCTATCACAGGGCTACACTTCCGTTGCCATGGCTTCAAATGATGCACAACGCGACTGTGATTGACCAATTTTAATACGAATCTAAATAAATGATCGATGTTTGTGTCAAAAGTTTTGTTTGTTGTTTTTTTTCCTTCAGCTGTCAGAAATGTACGGAGGCCCGAAGTTATCAGAACCTTTTCTGATCAGATCAGCCTCTGACTGAAGCATCACAGCAGAAAGATCACAAAAAGGCAGTTATTGGATGAAATCATTTTATAGTCCAGTCTATCACAGGGCTGCACTTAGAGACAGACAACCAAGCACACTCACATTCACTCCTACAGACAATTTAGAATCACCAATTAACCTCAACATGTTTTTGGACTTGTTGGAGGAAGCCGGAGAACCCAGACAGAACCCACGCTGCACGGGGAGAACATGCAAACTCCACACAGAAAGATCCCGGGTGTCCTCACTAGGACGCAAACCGGTGACCTTCTTGCTGCGGCCTGTTTCCTGAATGTTAGCTGGAATATTTATAGAATAGGAATATAGCTGGCCTTAAAGTTGAAGGAAGAGGAATAAATTTGACATTCTATCCTTAATTTTTGATGCTCGTGCATTATAAGGTGAGTTTCCTGGATGAATGCTATGCTGGTCGTAAATAAAGCCCCTGTTTTACTATTCAGAGCTGATGTTTCTAACAGCAACACGCAATGATCCTGCAGCTCCGAATATGTTTTTTTGAGGTTGTGTGATAGAGGCGTGGACTCTGCTTTATAATCATTTTCACAAGGATTATCCACAATGTAATTCCGTACAGGTTA